TCAAATTTACTCTACCTCAACCTAATACTCAAACTACGACGGAAGGGGATGGTTTATTCGCCTGCAGAGGATCGCAAGAGGCCTTTGAGAATTAATCAGCTGAATTTTTGATGAAGTAGTGCTCAGTCACTGTTCCTGTAGTAGGCTGTGGTAATTGTGCGGTGAGAACCTCCCACTTCCCGTTCATGAGTCGAATTTTGGGAAATTAAGTTGTGAGGGAACAAAAATTTCAGGCAGGGGGTAGGGTCCTATTTATATGAAAAGATCTGCTATACAGCAGCATGGGATCTGCTTACTAGAGTCTGGCCAGAAATGTTTGCCAAGGTGAGACGCGTAACTCAATAGGAATTAGTAAAAGAGCGTAGTGAAAGTGTGTGCCACCGCTCCCCCACCCAAGCGTAACAGCTCCGAAATCACATCCCATTTGGAATAACTATGGTTATGAAAACGAATTCGGTCACACAATGACTTGTGGGGACATTGTAAAGATCAGCGTTGGAACTTTGGAAGGCTTGATTGGGTCAAGCGGGAGCCCTTCTTGGACTTGTTCCCCGGGTTCTTTGCGTGATGAGTGTCATCACTCCAACATTGTTTTATTTTCGATTACTAACTCATTCTTGCTGCATCCTGGGCCCTTCACAACTGGCAAAAAGCTGCCTTGGCTGCTCTCCAACCCGCACACCTTCACACATCCTTCTGCCCGTGGGGTTCACCATTGCCTCTTCTCTGGCGAAGTGCACGCATCCTACAAAGACTATAAGTTTGTCACATATGAACATTTTGTTTCAAGATGTATCCAACGGTTGGAATGGATTTCGGGCTAAAAATGCTCCGGAATGCGCCCGTCAACGACTCTAGTCGTGTCGCCAATTTCCGTGATTTTCGCTTTGGCGATGGTGCGAGCGGGTGCCAAGGGCCTACGAAATCTCAAATTGATTCCGTCATCTCTAAAGGTCAGTTCAAGGCTTTCTTCACCATACTAGCGCCCCAATGTGTGGTGTTCAGGAGACAGCGACATCGAGGAGCATTATTCAAAGCTCTCCAGTCAGATAATGAATGCAAGTCATGGTGTGAAGAGCCGAATAGCTAATGGATTTTTCTTAGAGTGAGTTTCTTTACGGAAACTTTCTTCTCCGCCAGAAAGAATCAGTCCTAATTAGTGGTGAGAAATTTCTAGCAATCAGTTCCATGTCAAACAGGACTATCAGCAAGCTGTCAGAAAGAAGTACGGCGCTAAAGTAGAAGCTCTGGACTTTGGCCACGCAAAGGAGGCTGCTAAGGTTGAACTCGTTAACTTCAAGATCTAACCAAGAATTTTGTTGTTCGTCCGAGAAGTTTTTTCCCTCATTGACAATCTTCAGGTCATTGACGACTTCATAAGTAAGACGACGGACGGAAACAATGTCAAGGCATGATGTGAAGAAGCACAACTGTTAGCAGTACGCGTGTTGGTATTTTTTCAGGGCGCCGCAGAGGAGACTTGTGAAAGAACGCGCTTTTCCAAGTGATGTTTAAACAAGGTAACGCCAACAATGATCGTGCTGCTTGCATGAGGTGCATGCTAGATGACGTGCTCATATGCAGATAACTCAAATCGTGCCTTGATAAACTTCCAGAACGATTCTCTGGAAGTGAGGGCATTTTTCTCTGTTCTGTTTCGCCAGAGATCGGAAACGTCCCCTGCCAAGCGGCAGATGGTGTAGTGAATAAGCGCTTTGCTCCACAGGACCAAAGGAACACGTTGGAATCCTTGACTCTTGCAAGTTCTGGCTTTACTTTGAAACTCATAACTACATATGAGCCCTCCTGGTTCTTAGACTATTTGACATCATGACGAAGCGAATTCTCCATTTCTGGTTCCTTCTGAGAAAAAGGATATACGGCTATTAGAGCTTGCGTAAGAAATAAAGTTTTCATGGTTCAAAAGTACATTTGGTATTATTCCACTTAATGATGGACACAAAACAAGTTCTCGCAATGAGTTCAGCAAACAAAGAAGTACTTCTCATACCCGGTGCAGTTACAGTTCTCTACCAGTCCTTAGGGAATGCAATACTGAAGAGCTGTTTGGAATGCACCAAATTTGCTCTGAAGTATCCAGCAGAATACCAAGAATAATATAAGAATTTCTCGAATGTAGGTGAGCAGAATTGAAAATAGACTAGAGACAGGAGAAAGAGTAGAAATGCGTTGACATATTGAAAAATTGGAGTAGTAGTCAGGCTTTTAGGGAAAAGTTCAATATTCGCCGTGCTCTTTGTTTGGTGGAAGGCACCACATGTGCTCTAAAACCATGAGGATTTTATTCATTCATGCAAGCTAATAGCCAAATATCGCCATCATAAAAGTTCTCCAAAGGAACCTGAAATGGGAAGTTGCATTTCCTGTTGTCAAATGATTGAGGATCTGGGGAAATTAGCTAAATAGAATTGTTTTCGAGGCTCATATGCTATATATTTTAAACAAAACAAACATTGGCAAGTGCCGAGATTTCCAATGTGTGACTTTCTTCCTCCTGGAGCAATATGCTTATCCAGTACAACCAGTAGCCGCTCGGCTCATTCGGTTATCCTCCGAACTTGTGCGAACAGAGCGGAGAATAAATGTTCCGTAACTCCCTCAAAGAATCGTCCCGCAAATTCTGAGGGCAGATTTGAGTTCAGCGGCCTCAAGACATGTCCATCTATATTCATTTCATTTCTATATTTGCAATATGGCCGGATCGACCTGTTGGGGTTCCCTTGCAAGCTGGTCGAGTGAACGGGGTGGGCCTC